TATACACCTATTTCAAAAAACGTTGTCGTCACCACGACACAGTCCACAGGCTTGAGCCTGCAAAGAATCTCGGGGTTTCCATGCGTAATTAATATATATTGTGTTTTGAATTCAATGCCGGCAAACACTACTAATTTACTATTGCGTGTGTTAAACACATCGAACAAGTCCCGCCATGAAAAATTAGTAGTGTTTTCCTTGAAATGAATATTCCACGTTTTTAAACCGTCAATGAGTTTCAAAGCTATTTTCGCTACGAGACCGAGAATAATCCAGTCTCGAATTCTTCAATGCTCTGTGTTAGCCTCATTTGTTCGCAAAATATTCCTAATTGTGAGAATAAAAGATTAATTCTATCAATTCTATTGTCTCCCTTTTCAAATTCCATGCGTTTTCTCGGGCTATCAATGAAACAAAAGAATATGTTGCTTGGTTTTGAAGCTAACACAGAGCAAATCAGAACTCGAAAACGGATAATTTTGAATAACTGAAATTGAATATATAATATATATGGCAATCCCGAGATTCTTTGCAGGCTCAAGACTGTGGGCTGTGTACTGACGACGACAACGTTTTTTGAAATAGGTGTATAAGGAGTGTATAGGTGTCTAGGAGAAATATTTGTCCAGGAAATTAACTTGCGTAGCAAATCCAGAATTGGAAAAAGCCTAAAAAAGGCATGCTCCACTGTAAGATTCCTTGCATATTCTACTCAATGAATATACAACGGACATTCAGCCAGTATCTGTGGTAATTTGACGAATTGTAAAATGATCCATGAGCGCGCGGTGTATGCCAATTGATGGCGGCCCTTAAACATACACACTTTACTTCCACCCACTAATGTAGATATATAATATGTCTGTATTTTCAGAGAAGTATCAAAAGGCGGACACAATTGCTACAACTGCATGCCCAGGTTTGGATCTTGACGATCTTGTTGTTGTTGTTAATTTCCTAACTGGACATGGTATATTGTTTGCTAGGAAGTCAAGCTTTCACGGTCCTTGGTGCGTTGCTTGGCGTGTCCATGGTGTTCAATGGCGTTTTTTTAGTTTGTTTTACTTTGAGGTACTGCAAAGGTAAGCCGCAGTTCATACGAGCAGGTCATAATTGAAACAGGTATTGATGTGACTTCCACACTTCCTGACAGAAAACACTTCTTAATAAAGATGATTAATTAAATGGTCTTAAATGAGTATAGCTGCATGTGAATAGCTCACATGATCGATAAACTTCACTTGATTGCATGGTGTTGCAACTTGTTGTTGTTTCCTGTAAATTTATAATAAAAACGTGGACACAACGCTCTCAGTACGRCTAATAGCTATAGAGTACAATATTTGATGGTTTCCAAAGCCTCTTTTGATTGTTTTATTGCATCTTTGCTGATTCACTATATCTGCTATATCCCGCTTCTTTCCGGAATGCGTGCTCCTTTTTAATTTTAAATATAGCATGGGATGTAGCTGTAACTAATTACTTCATTAATTCTTCAGAAAACAAAGAAAATCGAAGGAAAAGGTAACTTCTTAAAGGCCCTGCCATTTCCATTAGGGTGGTTTACATTAACCCGTGAAACACACTTTAGCGTATTTATCGCTATTGCACTTTGGCTGTTTTTGTTTTTTATTGTCTCTACTCGACTATTACGATCTATTACACTCTAATTATTACACTTTGATTTATGGTTTATGAAAACCACTCTATGCTTTGCGCGCCTCTGTTATGGTTATGATTTACATCAAAATACTTCTAGTATCCAAATGGGATCCAAATATCACCATAAAATGAATTTCAGATAGCTGAAAACTCTTATATTAGCGTTTAAAGTGCTTATATGGTCGAAGATTGAAACACATGACAGTACAATTTATAAACTTTCGGTCAACTGCAAATGGTCGTCTCCCGGCCCTTRCGGCCCCCCAAAGCATAATGCAGATAATGGTGCACACTGGGCTTTTAATATTATAAAAAAAAAGAACAATTGAAAAAAAGGAACAAAAACAATACAAAAAAAGCTAAAACACTGTTCTGCTTGAAGAATTTCGAGGCAGAAAAAAAATCTCTTATTGAACACGAATTCTTTTAATTTTTGATTTTAGAACAAAAGTCGAGCATGACATGGTTGACATGGTAAGAATTGAGCTGCTAACTTAGGTATACAGAAGTTAGAACTGGATATACTAATTTTGGTTACAATTACACAGAATAAAATGCGTCAAGAGTGTCCTACAGAAGATCAACAAGTTGTCCATCAGTGCGAGTTGGTTAATGATAAAGAACAGGGAGGTCCTAACAATTCCATCTACCAGTCAGTCAATCCTCACACGGATACTTACACTTCACTTAGTCCAGACACCAAGCTTCCTCCTAAGCCTGCCATAAGCAAGACCACCGATGTGGTTTACCAGGAAATACAAGGTCATCCTCAAAAGTACCAGTCACTCGAAAACTTCAGTCGTATCTAAAGAGATCGAACCAGGAGGAGAATGTGCATGAATGTGCAAGGACACGGTTCGCACCACTCAGAAATGGTGTATTCAACGGAAAGAATCAAAGATAGAACTGATTTCGAATGATAATAAAACGGCACGGCACGGCACGATCACGGAACCTCGCCTTCTAGTGATTTCAAATAATGGCAATGATGAAAGCCTTTCCACACGAGCAAACAAAAACAGCGTCTTCAAAAATGTCCATTTTCGAGAGCGCTTTCGACCCACACCCACACCCACACCCAAACCCACAAATTCTCCGCACTCTCCTTATAATTGATTATGGATAGGTATCGTTCAAACGTTGTTTATGAAATCACCTCAATAAAGTTATAAGTGTAAGTTTTATATTGGTCAACAGTGCTGGGTTAATTTTCTCTTCAATTTCATTCGTTTTGGGGAAGGAAAACAAGGCAAAATCTTTTGAATAGCCGCGGAGCACATTCGATGATCGCACCATGACGACCAGACGAAAATGAAGCAATACCATCATTCTTTGCATTCCTAGTCAGTCTTTCATACCGTAACCTCAGCAGTGCGATAATAGTCGGTTTCCCAACTTGTACCAAATACGATCTACATCAGCATTTTCGGCCAGTTTCTTTTAGGGAGATTATGCTCAATAAATATTTATCTATCTCTTCTCTCTTAATTTCCATTACATGTCCATAAAAATATCCCGAACAGTGCTATCGTTTTCATCAAAGACTCAATGTAAACTTGAATAGTAAGCAAAACACTCCCTTCTCTTCAGCAGGTAGGCAATTTTCATTTTCAACATCTTATTTTTATTCTACTTTCGATCTGTTCGTCATGTTTCAGCAGTGTTCTTTCGCATTGAGGATGTCTTGCAGATGAGGTCGAAGCAAAATAGTTAAGTTCCGGTAAACGAATTTTTCATTTTCATCATTTTTAAAAAGGTATAGGCGTGTTAATCGGTTGATTGTGAATACAAGTGACATCACGGTCTTCATAATAGGTACGTTTTTGAATAGATCAGTTATTTTCTCCAGGATAGATTAATACATCTTTTTTTTATATCTCTTCAGCTTCTTGTAGGATAATATGATTTGGAAACGATTTCTATTGGCTCTTGGATTGATGTCAAATACGTTATCATTTATTGAAAGAGTACATCTTCTAAATGGTATTCGAAGTCACCTCTTCTTTATTATCAATATTTAAAAAACATGTTTTCAATTATAGCTAGAATTAGTATGATACGCACAATTGCTGGATATGAGACAGTACACCCGGACTCTAAATGCTTGATTACTCCCCTACTCATACAGCTGGCAGAAAAAGACAAAATGGCGAGTAGATAATCAAATCGTTTAGCGAAGCTAGACGAAATCAAGTCTTATTCGAAAACGGTGTGCCCAGTCACCTGATACCAAAGCCGCTAGCTGATGCGGAAATTTAAATATAAACAGAGAGACAGTTTATGATTGTGTTGTCGTGTATGCTTCGAATAGATAAAAAAAGAAACAAAATTAGAGTGACATGAAGTTCACAAACAATTTTCCATGATTAAACTACTTGATTTTTGGAGAAGCTCAATAAAGGCCTTATGCACCACTCGGTGCGAAACAGCGCGATGAAACTACTTGTGATTTTAAGAACATGAATAATCAGTTTGAAAACAATRTATATGACTTATTCACACGTTGAAGTAAAGAGACTTCTATTATATTTGATACTTAACTCCGAGTTATTCCATTCATTCTTGTTGTACATACTTGGTCGATGGCCCACAACTCGGCCTAAGCCTCTTTGAAAAGCTG